ATGTGTACTGATGCAAAAGGAAAAAGTTATCGCATACGCATCGAGACAACTGAAGATTCACGAGAAGAATTATACTACTCATGATTTGGAGCTAGGAGCGGTRGTGKTCGCACTCAAGATCTGGAGACATTATCTCTACGGTACTAAGTGCACCATTTTCACGGATCACAAGAGCCTTTAACATATTCTTGACCAGAAAATTCTCAATACGAGGCAAAAAAAGATGGGTTGAGCTACTTAGTGACTACGATTGTGAAATAAAGTACCATCCAGGCAAGGCTAATGTAGTAGCCGACGCTTTAAGTCGAAAGGAAAGGGTAAAACCGACAAGAGTACATGCTATGGGAATGATGGTTCAGACGAGTTTAAAGACTCAAATTCTGGAAGCACAAAGAGAAGCTCTGAAAGAAGAAAACATGAAGAATGAAGCCTTGCAACACTTAGAGAAAGAATTTGAAATGCAAGCAGATGGGGTGCATTACTTTAAGAATAAAGTATAGATACCAAAGGTTGGTAACCTACGATCAACCATTTTGGACGAAACCCATCGATCCAGATATTCGATTCACCCAGGAGCAGATAAACTGTATAAGGATCTGAAAGAGTATTATTGGTGGCCAGGAATGAAGAAAGATATTGCTTTGTTCGTAAACAAGTGCCTGACTTGTGCCAATGTTAAGGCTGAACATCAGAAAACATCTGGTCTACTCCAGCAACCTGAAATACCCCAATGGAAATGAGAGCAAATAACCATGGATTTCGTAACAAAGCTACCCAAAACTGGAAAGGGGCACGTTACTATATGGGTTATAGTAGACCGACTTACTAAATCAGCTCATTTCATTCCCATTCGCGAAGATTTTAGCATGGAAAGRCGTGCAYAAATCTACATCAATGAAATAGTTACACGTCATGGTGTGCCTATTTCCATTATTTCGGATAGAGATACACGTTTTACATCACGATTTTGGCAGTCTCTTCAAAAGGAATTGGGTACGCGCTTGGATTATAGCACCGCCTATCATCCTCAAACAGATGGACAATCAGAAAGAACTATTCAAACGCTAGAGGATATGTTGTGTGCGTGCGCAATAGATTTTGGTGGTTGTTGGGATACCCATCTGCCCCTTGTTGAATTCTCTTATAACAACAGCTATCACACCAGCATACAATGTGCACCGTACGAAGCTCTATACGCACGTAAATGCAGATCGCCGCTTAGCTGGGTAGAGATCGGAGATAGACAGTTGACAACGCCCGATATTATTCAGGAAACCACCGACAAGATTTCAATCATCAAGGAGAGRCTCWAGACAGCAAGAGACYGTCAGAAGAGTTATGCGRATAATCGGAGAAAGCCGTTAGAATTCCAAGTGGGGGATAAAGTACTTTTAAAGGTATCGCCATGGAAGGGACTAGTACGTTTCAGGAAGAGAGGCAAGCTGGGTCCCAGATACATTGGTCCATTCGAAATACTCGAAAGAATCGGACCAGTGGCGTACAAGTTGAAGTTACCACAAAATCTAAGCGTCATCCACGACACGTTCCATGTGTCAAATCTGAAGAAATGCCTAACGGATGAAACAATAGTGTTACCCTTGGACGACGTTCAGATTAACGATCGGTTACACTTCGTCGAAGAACCAACCGAGATACTGGACCGAGAAGTTAAACGGTTGAGGCGCAGTAAAATCCCTATTATTAAGGTCCGCTAGAATGCGAAACATGGCCCAGAGTACACCTGGGAATGAGAAGATTTCATGAAAGGCAAATATCCGCATTTGTTTGCAGAGAAATCCATTAACAGTAGCAGTCATTAAATTTCGAGACGAAATTTCTTTAACAGGGGGAGACTGTGACAACTGTCAAATTTGAGCTTCCAGGTTAGTTCTTATTAAGTTTATATTAGTGTTATTAAAGATAATTTATAAGATTAAGAGTTAGTTAGATTAGATTGGCCGAAAAATTTCTAGAGTTTCCGGTAGTTGCTTAGAAAGTCCGGTTCCGACCCGTAATTATCTGAAACGTCTTATGTAGTGTCAGATGCTCCAATTTATACCCAATTTATATAAAACATAAAGTTGTAGTGTTTTAAATATAAAACTTTTTATTCAAATGGATTTAACCAACATGGGTTTTTAATTTGAAGAAAAATGTCAAAATTGAGAAAAATGACATTTTAACAAATTTGGGCTTAAAGTTTATAAAAAAAATTATTATTATTGTGGGCTTGGGCTCCCATGGCCGGCCACCCCCTCCCCTTTCCCTCTTTAATCCACATATAAATACTATAATTTTTCTATTTACAATCTATTCTCACCCTTTGAATTTATGAAACTCCCTCTTCTTCTCTCTCCCTAAACTCAAGAGTCACATTAGATCATCTTCATCATCCTTCATCATCAGCCAAAAATCTCCATATTTCTCCATCAAAATAGCAAGGATTTTGAAGATATTGCATCCTTCTCATCATCAATCAAGGTAACAACTTCATCTCCACTTTTTCTTGCATTTTAAGTGCTGGCAGATTTTATGCATGTGCATAAATCGTCCATTTCTTGCAAATAATATGTTCAAATAATATGAATCTTCTTCTAAACGTTCATTTATTGAGTTAGGGTTGTAATCCAATTGGTCTCACTCAAAAACATTGAGTTTTGACTACCCAAATACTCAAAACAAGATGCATGTGCATCTGGGAGTTTTTCAGTAGGTAAACCCTACTTTAAACAACCATAACTCTCTAAATAATCATCCAAAATCATTGATTTTTCTTCTGGAAGTTAATTTCATGAGTTACCTTTCAAATGCCACTGATTTAATTCAAAAATATGGTGATTTGAGGTTTCAACTACTCAAAACAAAATTAGTATGCAATCTGTCCGAAACTGACAGATTTGTATATGCATGTTCTAATGACCATATCTCTTTCCAAACTCGATGAAAAAGGATGATTCTTCCTTTGAGAGTTAACTATATGAGTTATATTCTGCATGCAAGTGGAATCACATAAAAATATGGATTTTTGACCTCCAAACACCTAAAACACTTTAGGTGTACGAACTGTGAAACCATCAGTAGGTAACTCCTACTTTGTGTGTTAATATCTCTTTTATTACTTGCTTTTAGTACATTATTCTTCTTCTGAAATATTCTTTTATGAGCTAGGGTTCATATGAACCCAGTTTCACTAAAAAATATGAAGTTTTGAGGCATTAACCAATTTATTTAARTTAAGTGTGYAATCTGTCAACTAATGACAGATGTGTGCATGTAACTTTATGGTGCCATATCTTCYTCTTAACTCATCCAAAATGAGTGATTATTATCTTAAAAGTTTCATTTAGGTGTTGAGTTTATAATCCAACTTGAAATTCTGTAAAACACTTAGTAGAACTCTTCAAATGAGTATTTTACTAACATGGTGTAATCTGTCGTAACAATTGTGACATATTGTATTGCATAAATTATTTGAATCATTATTGCATGTCCAAAATGTATGAAATTTGGTCACAATGACCACAACTTAGTTCTATATCTCATATAAAAAGATAGGAAACTATGTCATTTTAGAAGTCTCTATAAATTGATCATTTTTAGTACTATTAGTTTTTGTCCAAAAGAGAAATTCTGGAATTTATTTGATTTTATAAATTTTGATCATTTATTGGATTATAACATTATTTCCGGTATAAATTACTATATTAACGAGCATATGTGCATTATGTATATTTGGACTATAGATAATCAAGTTGGGCATATGTAGACAATTATGGACTTAGGACTTGTTAATCCCCATAAGTAGTTTTAAACCCATAAGTGATGGTTTTGGATATTCTTCTTTGATAGGGAAACGTTAAGCCAACTTGTGGGGACCGGATCGTGTTTTTGATTAGCGGAGCTTTGCAAAAGAGTGAGTATTCACAGCCCCTCTTTYAAAGTATTTATTACGTTTTGGGGTGAAAAGCATGATTGAATGTGTTATATGAGCTATTTTCATTATGAATATGAAATTTTGTTAATTTGATGTTGTGGGCACTAAGGCATGTACACTAATAGTTATATTGAGTAAAATGTAACA